CACGGCCAGGCCGTTGATGAGCTCCAGAGTATTGATCACATGCATGGAACTGCTGACGATAGGCGCATATATGACCAGACGACCAATGTCCTCCGTTTGCAGATGCTACAAGAAGAATTTTAATATTGTTACCAACTCTGTTGAGAAAAGGCCGATATTCAACGCACATCAAAGTAATCAACGGTGGAGAAATCGTCTGGACAGGAATGTATGAGTATAGGGAGGACATTGTTGTTGGCCACAGGCGGCTTATCATCCTTGCCACAGAATTTCATAGTCAAATTGGGTGTAGCTATGACATTGTCGGGGCCACTGCAGCGCAGGCGCAACTTATCGAGGAGTTCAAATTTGGACTAAAAGAAAATAACAGAAGTTTTTCAATGTATATTAAAAGGGAAACATCCAAGCAAGTGCTAACCTCATGGCGTCCCAGAAAATAGGCCTGCTGGTATACCACTCCTGCCTGCGACAGACCCACTCCATCTGCCTTAACGACCTGCACATCCAAGTACTTGCTCAAGAGATCCGCAAAGATCTCCAGACGAGTGCATTCGTATTGCTTTAAGATGGAGTATTTGATCTCATCCGATTCAAACTCGCTGGGACTTGTCTCCAAATGTATCTGTTAATAGATCGAAAAACCATTTAGTCCGGAAGAAGATGGGCGTTAGGATGTATTCTTACCTGCGAGAAGACGGCCTTGCCACCGCTCTTCAGGCTATTGGCCAGCAATAGACTGGGCGTGTTCCAGGTCTCCTCAGTGCCCAGCACTTGGACATCCAATTTGTGGCTATGGCCGGCCAGATCTTTCAGTTCCATGGACCTTGGACATACTAGAGCTCTGAGCAGCGTTTCGTTTTGTTTCGTTTCGATTTTGTTTTATGGTTTTCGATTATGTTTTTGTTTGGTTAATGGTAGGTAGGATTATAATAGTGATAGCACACACATATAGGAAGCACACACAGAGATATAGAATGGGGCAGGACAGGAAGAGAGAGAGAGATCACACAGGCACGCAGAAAGAATATAGAAAGGAAATGGAAATTTCAAGCAATAACAAATAAAAATATCCAATTTAAAAAATTGATTTTGAATAATAATTCAGTCAAACATTTATGATAAAAGTTAAGTTTAAATATTATTAGAAGAAATTCGTTTAATTTCACCAGGAAAATACGATTATGAATGATGATCGGAATGCACATCGAATACAAGCCAAAAAAGCCAAATACGTATAGAATTGAAGCCAATTTGAGCCATGAAAACATTTGAGAAACAATATATAAGAATTGGAATTAGTCAGAAATTGCTTAGTAACAGCGGGATTATTTCAATATCAATTCTCCTAGGGATTCTCCACAAATTAGAACTAACAGAAGATTTGAATGGTTCTAATTTGCAGCTGTCTCCACTGCACTATGGGCAAAAACTCGAGTTTCAAAATTTGCACAAATATTAATATCTCTTAAGGTTTTTTTTAATATTTTTATATGAGCATTTTTCTTCATAGTGCAGCAATGTAAATCCCCGTTTAATAGTGCGCCTGCGGTTATGCAGTAAAAAAGCAATTGCTTCGATTTCGGGTGTATAAAACATGCATTATAGTAGAGGATATTAAATATACTCTTTGGTTATGGATATTAGTGGTACTTTTGTCAGTATAAGCTACAAGTTTAGAGGTCTTCGGTCTGCATGGGGATTAGCTTTCTTCTCAGTGTATGGTATGGCAACAGTACTTACGGTCTACGTGAATGCGACTTGGTCGACTCCTCGCTGTCTGTCGAAAAGTGCTTCTTCACTGGCGATGGCTGATAGCAGAAGATGTGATGCATCATCTTGACCCGCTGCCATTTGTCGTAGGAGAACTGTACCAATTCGTGCTCGCGAACCTGCCAAAGAAAACAGAAATTACAATCCCATTCCAATCAATGGAATCCTCTAAAATAACCACCTCCGCTGTGCGATAGTTTGGCAGTATGAAGTGTAGTATATCCGAGCAGAGGCTCAGCACCTTGCCGCCATGCAGAAAGTAATCCACGAGTATCTGTCCAATCCCGGGCGACACCGAACCGCACACCACCAGCAGGGCTGTCTGCTCGGTCCAATGCTTTTGGGCTGCCTGCTGCGGCATCAGCGGGTAAATGGTGTACACATTCCGCTCGAGCAGTTGCTGAAGCGTGGCCAACGTGGAGTCTCTGGCACTGGCACTGTCCGAGTAGACCAAAACATTCAGGGGCTTGCTTTCCTGCAGGCTATCCTTATTGCGCCGCAACACCGGTCGTGAAGGGGGAGCAGTAGCTGGCGGTGAAAAAGGTTTCACCACCTCAAAAGTCTTTGCAGGCTTCACTGTCTCCACTGTAGTTGGTTCAGTGGTATTCACAGTAATGGCTGGCTTTGCGGCCTCAATAGTAATGGATGGCTTCACAGCCTCAACGAGTTTGCTGGGTGTGCTTGAAACCGATTTAGCCGGAGTCCCATCCACGGACGTCTTCTGAATCTGGGCTGCCTGAGCAGCGGCCAGCTTCTCCAGCTCGCTCTGCGCTTCACTTTTGGTTGGAGTTGCTTTGGCTTCGCTTTGAGGTGGAGTCGATCTTTCTTCGGTTTTAGCGGGAATTGCTTTGTCTTCGCTTTTAGCTGAAGACAGTTTTGAATCGTTTTTAATGGGAGTGCTCTTGGCCTCGCTCTTAGCAAACGATGACAGAGCAGCCTCGCTCTTGGCGGGACTTAAAGTGCCCCTGGCCGGGGACAAGGCCGCTTTATTGGTGGGTTCGACCACAGCCACGGCCTTGAAACTGGCCGGCTCTGATGTCTGGGTAAGGAGATCTGGTTTCATAAGGCCTGTCTTGCCCTCGGTGCGATTCTTTTGATACTCGAACTCAGTGGCCTGATGAGCCAGCACACTGACGGCACGCAAATCCTCCAAATGCTTCTTCCAGCCTTCCTTGTCTAGTTCAGCGGTGATGCGGGACTGCCGCTTTAGATGTTTGGTCAACAGCTCAAAGGGCTGGGGGTCGCCGGAACGCAAAACAGCTGCAAAAATGTGAAGAAACGTGAATTAGTCGAGTGCGGGAAGGGCTTTTGGAAGTATGAATGGATGACGATTTAAGTTTCCCGCTTACACTCAATCCTCATCAGGGGCAGGTCATCGTTTATGCATAAATTATTTCGTAAAAATGTCGATATCAACAGTTGGGTAAAGTGCTCCACATCGGTCTCGATGAGCAATGCCAGGTGGGAGTCCATTTTCCAAGCAATTAGCTTACCATAATCTTCCAACTGATGAACGCCAAGGCCATGTCACAGGTCACAGGTGAGGCAAGCAAAAGAAAGAGATGAGACAATATATGACGCCAGCTCTCTATATCGATTTAACTATTTCAGTATGGGTTATATTTCCTAATCACATTACCGCACGCACTGCCATCGCCACCACAGCCAGAAGGGCCGTGGCTGTGGCTATTAAAATGTTTAGTTTATGGTTTGCAAAAACCGAAGCGGAGGATACCCTACCCTGAAACCTACCCGCACAGCTATGGTGTCCAGTGCGCTTTCCTTTTGCGCTGGCTCTACTTGGGCCTCCAACAGCAGCTGCATATGCTGCTCCTTGTCCGACGAGAGTGTCACGCGCTGCTTAGCCGTCGACGGCGATGGCTCCGTTGGCGTTGTCGCTGGCGTTAAGGTGTCGGCGGCATAGGCAAACGGCAACAGACCCGGAGCCGCGGGAAAGCTTATCCAAGGTGCGATCTGGAGCGTCTGCAGTGGACGCAGGCAGCAGCCGTGCTGGTTTCCATGCAACCACAAAATATCCGTGACCTTGGCCGCATTACGATTGCCGCACAACTCTGAACTGGCAAATGAGGGATCTGTACAAGGGAAGTAGATTAGGAATTAGCTAATGATTCGACTGATATCATCTGATTCTCACCAAAGCCATCATCGCTGCCCGCTGGCAGGGCATAAAAAGCAATGCTCGAGGGTTGTGCCAGGTGCTCGGCGATTTTGTTGCAGACCTTCTGGATGCGCCAGGATTGCAGGACAGTGGCACTCACGTAATACAGGGTCAACATTTTATGGTTTAATGTCGCTCTCTATGCCATTGGAAACTGAAAATCAATGTGCGGTTTCGTAATTTCCTTCCTCAAAGAAGCAGCGAAAGGCAGTGGTTGCTATGTCCACGGTCCCAGGAAGTGTTTTACAGCGAAATTGACACACTTTTGCACTCCTTTGCACCCACTGACATTTATTGTTGATTACTGCATTCCACTTCCATACACCACACATACACCCCCATTACTTTGGGGAGCTTTATCTCTTTTTGTTTGGGGGCCAAGAAAGCGCGGCAGACATGTGCTTCTTCTTATTGCGAATAATATAACCATTCAACCCGCCAAACATTGGCCCAAGGTGAAATTATTAATAGGGTGACGTTTCGACTCTCAGAGAGACCAGCGCTCGGTACTCTTCGTTTGTTGTTGTTTTAGCTAACAGGAAAGAATACTTTTGCGACTTGAACGAAGTCCTGTGGATCTTTTTCTTTCTCTTTCTCTTGGCAAGAACTGAAATATAAACACACACTCGGTGTGCGGGGATCATCACTTAGCTTAGCGTTACAGCAGTGGGCACCAGTCGTCTACATTCTAAGTCTGAATCATAGAAATTTTTCTTACTAATTTTACTCAACCTCGATAATTTAACGCATGTGATTCTTCACCACAGCTCCGTTCGCTTTCGTCTCTTGGTACTGAAACGCTTCCTTGCCGAAGTTCCCGAACGGTAAAATTTTGTCGACATGTTTATATAAGGAAGGAATCAAAGACCTAATAACTAATAACTAAATAAATGCAGATTTAAAGTAATAATAAGCTTATTCTTTTCGCTGCATTCTGCTGGTCCTTCCAAAAAGAGCAGATGTGGTGAATACGTCACCTTATTAGCGCATTCACCTTGCATTGGCCATTCAGAGTAAGACGACGCCACGCCGCCTTTAAAGTTGTTTTCATTTTAACAAGTCATTTACTAGCGTGTTTTTTGCCGCGTTAATTAGTTATTTCAGCTTTAGATCCGTACAGATTTAGTATTTAAGCAAAGGCGGCATGCTGTTGGGCGAATTGGACACAACGCGGCGACTATTGTTTATCGTGGCTGTTTTGGTTTTAATTTTATATGCAAAAACGTACCTGCTACCCGGCGTCGACCTGGATTACGATTAGTAGGTAGCATACCCCGCATAGCAGCAGCAGCACCTTCAGCATCCAAGTGATGACAGATCGAAGGGTTTCCTACTTCTATAACGCCGATGTGGGTAACTTTCATTATGGCGCGGGGCACCCGATGAAGCCGCAGCGGCTGGCAGTGACCCATAGTCTGGTGATGAACTATGGCCTTGACAAGAAAATGAAGATATACAGGCCATACAAGTGAGTAACACGAACCGATCCCATACTTGGATAGGACTAATAATCCTCCAACCGTTTTCAGAGCCAGCGCCCAGGACATGCTCAGGTTTCACAGTGACGAGTACATAGCCTACCTACAGCAGGTGACCCCGCAGAACATTCAATGCAATTGTAAGTGTGGCCAAAAATCAGCTCAAACCTAATAAATCTATATTATATTACTCTCTTCTAGCTGTGGCCTATACCAAGTACCTGGCGCACTTTAGTGTAGGCGAAGATTGCCCCGTCTTCGATGGCCTCTTTGACTTTTGCGCCATGTACACAGGCGCATCGCTGGAGGGTGCCCAAAAGCTGAATCACAATCATAGCGACATCTGCATCAACTGGTCGGGCGGCCTGCACCATGCCAAAAAGTTTGAGGCATCGGGTTTCTGCTATGTAAACGACATCGTGATTGGCATTTTGGAGCTGCTGAAGTATCATCCGCGTGTGCTGTACATCGACATCGATGTGCATCATGGGGATGGGGTGCAGGAGGCCTTCTATCTCACAGATCGCGTGATGACGGCGTCGTTTCACAAGTACGGAAATTACTTCTTTCCGGGAACGGGCGATATGTATGAGCTGGGGGCGGAGTCTGGTCGATACTACAGCGTGAATGTGCCACTCAAGGAGGGCATTGACGATCAGAGCTACTTCCAGGTCTTCAAACCCATCATCTCGGCCATCATGGACTTCTATCGGCCCACGGCAATCGTCCTGCAATGCGGTGCAGATTCACTGGCGGGGGATCGGCTGGGCTGCTTCTCGTTGAGCACGCGGGGCCATGGCGAATGCGTGAAGTTTGTCAAGGAACTGAATGTTCCCACCTTGGTGGTTGGCGGCGGCGGCTATACACTGCGCAACGTGGCCCGCTGCTGGACGCACGAGACTTCGCTGCTGGTGGATCAGGACATTGACAACGATCTGCCCATCACGGAGTACTACGAGTTCTTTGGGCCGGACTTTACCCTACATCCAGAGATTAACTCGCGGCAGGACAATGCCAATTCGAAACAGTATTTGGAGATGATTGTGAAGCATGTATATGAGAACCTGAAAATGTGCCAGCACTCGCCTAGCGTACAGATGGTGCAGACGCCGCCCGATATGGATATCGAGGAGCTGCGTAACAAGGAGGAGACGGATCCCGACGTGAGGATATCTCAAACAGATGATGACAAAAGTGTGGAGGCGAAGAACGAGTTCTACGATGGGGATCAGGATCAGGACAAGCCTGATTCGGCGGAGAGTTGAATTAACTTACTTATGTGCTAGTCTAAGGATGCGAATAAGGTCAAGAACAACCACAGTAATACACAGTAACACAGACTACAAGTAGATTTTAAAATCGACAGACACACGTGTATTTGAGATGGGAGATAATTATAATGATATTAGGATTCGGATTTGGAATTGGATAATCACCAACCGGTTGTGGTGTTGGCCAGGCGTCGCATACGTCGCGTATTCCTATCTTGATCGCGTATCTTCTTCTCCATTTCGGCATCGGTTAGCGTCTCTAGGAATGGGGCCCACGCATCGGCATCGCTGGGATTCCGGAACGGAACATCGATGGTGGACAGGGGTGCCTCGCTAAAGGCGTACGTGCGACAGTGCCACGACAATTGACCACGTATGCTGTAAGCTATGGCCGTCACAAACTCTCCACCTAATCCCAGTTCGGCGCAGAGTTTGATGGCAAACTCCTCCGGGTTGTTGTTCTTCTCCGACATGTCCCACTCGACCTGGTCGACGAGCGACGTGTTGCCCACGTGTATGTTGAGCTTGACTATAACACGCTGGTCACAGCTCTCCTCCAGGATGGGCGGATCGTTGGGAAAGGCCTCGATCTGCTGCCGGATAGCCTGAGCGATGGCCGGCACAAAGGGCAGGGGATTCAGGTCCAGATCATCACAGAGTACTTCGGCAAACTGCTCGGGCGTGATCATGCTCTCGTTCTTGTTCCAGGTGAAGGTGTCGCGCAGCTTCTGTCCCTCCAGCTCCATGTCCAGGCGTATGGGCACCAGGCATTCCTTCTGTGCCGCATTCTCCAGACTCGCCGTCGGGTCCGTGTCGTCAAAGCACATGGGGAATGTACGCACCTTCTTTGTGTGCACTCGATTCCGGTTAATGGGCGTGGCCTGGGGCACGGCGTCCAAGTGGCTCGAATTGGGCATCGTGGGCACATACTGTGGCTGCTTCTTGGACTTACTCTCCCGCGGCACAGGCGTATCGGAGGTGTTCACCGAAACGGCACGATATCTGCAACGAGCAATCATTAAAGTAATCTCCGACTCTGACGGGCGGACGGCTCCTGTCACACACTCACTTCTCGTCATTGCCAGCCATAATGTCATCCACTTCGACCGCTCGTAGCAACGAAACTGAGCTGGCCAAAATGTGTGAACTAAGGCCAGAGTCGGCCAGTCGTTTTCGCTCCTCATTTGACAGGACAATGCGCGTCATACCCGGGTACTTTTTGTAGAGGATGCCGCGGAAGTGGCGCATATAGTTGCCCACCTCGGAACCCACATAGTAGTACTCGCCACCCTCCTCCAGTTGGAATGCAACCGGCTTATCACCGTATGTCTGCAGAGCCATGATGGGAATACTCCAAAAATCAGCAGACTTTATTTATTTTTATTTATTGGTGGTTTTGTTAATTGCAAATTTTCAGACCAGAATTTTTCATACCGCATACACAAACACAGACATGGACATGGCGTCTTTCGCGTTTTGGTTGGTTGGTAACCCTACACATTAACCCTATAACATTATGTGTTCAGGCGGAGAAATGTGGTTTCCAATTCTTGACGGAGAACGATTAATTGTAGAACAAGGAGGTATGTTAAATCCACCGAAAATAAATATAATTGAATAATTTAGCACAGTTCAGGTGAAATATATCGTGGCTTTTTTTAAGTTCAGAGAAGAGATGGCATGGATAGCAGTCGTTTAACTGTTAAAATAGAGGAGGCTTAAGAGGGCTAAGTTAGTATTTTCATCGGTATATTTACGGTATATTTTGCAAATGAGACGGTTTTTTTCGTTTCGGTCACACTGTTTGGCCATATGCTGCCGCAGAAATTGCGATTGTTTAGTTTTCCTTAAAAATGTCCTTTTTACGCAGCGTTGCTGGTGCTCTGGTGCTTGCCAGGCCGCTTAATAGTTCGCGAACAGGTATGTCTCAGCGATTGCGCCAAGTTAATACAGTAATCATGTTTATTTCGGCAGTGCAAACACGCCGTCACATCAAACGTTGGGTCGCACCGACGTTACGTGAGCTCGCGCATCGTCAACAGAAACAAGGGCCCCAAAAGCCGGAACCCCGGGCGGGCTATGTGGAGTGGAACTACCGGTCGGAGCTGTTTGCCTTTGGCAAGCGACTGGGGGAAAACTTCGAGCTGCCGCAACTGCAGGAGGCCTTCACACAGCGGTCATATGCCCACCAGGAGGAGGAAAAGCAGAGAAAACTTGGCATTGAAGAAGGGGACCTTAAAATAGCTGATAATCAGGAGTTGGCCAAGATGGGTAGCCACATTGCCAGGGCCTATGTAGAGGCCTTTCTGAAACAGTCGCTGCCAAAGGTTCCGAAGGAAGGACAGGAGGCCATTGCAAGCTATTTATTGAGCACAGAGACATTGGCCAATGTTTCGTCGCATTTGGGAACCAAAGATCTCATCTTCACCACAGAGTACCCGCCTTCTCCCGAGAGCCTGGCCGAATCCCTTCAGGCGGTGATTGGGGCTCTAGCAGATTCCAGTGGCGTAGAGCGGGCCTTCCTCTTCGTCAGAGACTTTATCTGCACACAATTGAATCAGAAAGATTTGCTGGATCTGTGGACACCCAAGCAGCCCGTGCAGTTGCTCGAGGAGATCTGTCAGCAGCGGAAACTGGGAGAGGTGGAGCCCCGCCTGCTGGGGGACTGTGGCAAGAACACAGTTCTGGCTGCCTACCACGTGGGCATCTACGCGAATCGCCAGCTGCTGGGCAAGGGCTTTGGCGAGGATGTACCGACAGCCACAGAGACGGCGGCACTGGATGCCCTGCAAAGCCTCTTCGATATCCACGAAAACCGAAGGCCCTTCGACTTTGGCCTTCAGGTGGAGACCAAGAATGTGAGACTGGGCAACTGAGAAGATCTGTTGATGCGTTATTGCCTCTTTGTTGATTAATATAATTTGCACTATCCACATGTACTTTCTGAATTGGCGTCAAAATAAGATTGTGTCTTTAAAATCATTTAACTACGGCTCAACAACATTTGTGGCACTGCCATGTGCGCGCCTGTCACTTAGTCGGTATCGTCGCGCTTCTTCTCGTATTCCTCGGTGTTTCCCGTGCCGGTGGGCGCGCTTGAGGTAGGCGGACTGATGTCATCCGGCTTGCTTTCCAGCGAGAAGGGCGGAATCTTGCAGTCAAAGGAGTAGCCATCCTCGCGCTCCAGCCGGAAGGTGCCCCACATATGCCCACTTGGCGCCTGCAGGCTAACATGACTGCTGTACTGGAAGGCGGGCAGCCGGGGGCTGAGTATGGGCTCCTGCCCAACCACGCCACGGCCACGGACCGTCTCCAGAGTGCCCGACAGGGAGAAGATGCGCCAATGACGCTCGCGCAGCTGCACGCTCAGCTCGCCCAGGTTCTCCAGACGGATGCAGTAGCGCCACTAAAGAAATGGATAAAGATTAATTGATGTTTGAGACTTCAATCTAAGACGTACCCAATAGACGGAGCTGGCTGGCGTCTCCCTGCAGCCCATATAGAAGGGAATCACGGTGATTCGTACATTCTCAGTTGTCTCCTTGTGTACATCGCTCATGTCCAGCCAGGGATGGTTCTTCTCCTGCCAGGCCTTCAACGTGTCCTGCCCTACAAACGGCGGATCCGAGTCCGGGGCAGGTGTCAGGAACTTGTCGAATAATTCATGCTGTAGGGGCTGCTTTTCGGTGGAGCTGTAGGGCATGATGTCCTCGTGCGCCACATAGTCCAAGCCGGGTATGGCATACAGGCTGCGATTGGAGTCTTGATTCCCCAAAAACGTTACGGCTTCCGTTTGGGCCCGCTAGAAAGTGCTTTAGAATTAAATTCTGGCAGATTAGAGGCTACTTTTTTAGTCTTACAATGTGCGGGCAATCCCTTGTGTCGATGAGCACTTGATAGAAGGTTTGCACTTTGCCCCGGACCTCTTTGGTGTCCACCTGAGAGTGGGCCGATGTCTTGGCGGTACCCATGCTTGTGGTACTTTCGGAACGGCTTCCAACGGGCTGTGACTCCGGCCAGCCGACATCGGCTGGCGTAAGAGTAGGCGACGTTGCAGATGTTGGCTTAACTCTAAGTGAAGCCTCTTTGGTTCCTTGTTCCAGGGGCGGAGTGGCCGTCGCCGTGGCCGTGGCGGTCGCTGTTGTCGTTGCGGTGATCTTGCTGGGATTGTGGAGATCACGGTCGTAGACACGGGCGGTCCATGGAAAGAGTATCACTCCACGGTAGCCAAAGATGCGGTGCAGGAATACCTGTCCGGTCTCGTATTTGTCATCCCTGGCCTCCACCAGACGTCCCACTTCCGCAAGCCTGCAACACGATTTGCATTATGCAATAATGATTCAAATGGTTTTGATGGGAGAGGAAAAGCAACCCACAGAAGGCTGCCAGCACCCCCCGAAGCAAGGACTCACTTGGTTGGATATGCCGCATTCTTCTTGATGCCGCGCCTCAGCGTTACGTCGCATCTCTTGACTAGATGCCACCGCCTCTCCCATTGGAACACTTGCATCAAGAGACCCATCTCATTCAACACTCGAGCTGAAATCACAGAGGAACAAGTGCAGAACCCGCCACTCGTCTTCGGTTCTGAGCGAGGAGGGGGCCAAGAGCAAACAAAACACCTTTATGCAATTATTTGGCCGAGTATTCCGGCACTATCTGCTGCTGTCTTTTGGCTTTTGTGCTTTACATGTGCTTCAAATTGTATTTCCAAATTTTAAAATTTATCCAGATTTCGACATTGTTATGAAAATTTTGATTTGTTTTCGGTACCAGAAAAAATACACTCGATTTCACTATATTCGATACCGATAGACTATTTTCCGGGGGACTTTGAATCTAAAGCTTGCAATTATCACAGGAGGATGGCAGTAAAATAAGGATTCAAATTATTTCGTAATATTATTAATGTGATGTACCCCAACTATTAAATTTTCTTACATTTCTTACGTATTTATTTGATCCTTTTTTTGCAACTATTCGATTACATGAAAAGGAAACCCTTAAATACGAATCGGTGTATTCGATCATAAAATGTAGCACAACAGTGCGTTTGGTAGAAGGTTGGTATATAATGGTATATTCGATTCATTTTGGTATATTTACGGTATATTTGTAAAATGAGACGGTATATTTTGGTATATTTCAGAGGGTCGATTAGCCCATTGTATTTTAATATTCCACCGAAAATAATGTGAGTTGAAAAGATGGAATGGATCTACAAGAAGAATTTACTATCACTAATATTTTCCTCCATTCACCTCAAGTCGTTGAACAATTTTAATTGATGGGGCTTAAGTGGGCTAACTTCGATTTCTTATCGATATACGATAAGTCCTGCTTGTTCTCCCTCTTTCGCCATTTGACATATTTCCGGTACGTACGCGATTTTTCTTCGGGCACTAAATAATGTAAAAATATACATGAAAATGCATGTAACTTTGAGAAATAGTGCCTCGAAAGACTCGGTGGATATGTGTGTTATGTTCGCAAATAGTTATTGTGCGCCTAGGAAGTGATTGGCTGTGCGATGTCTGTGGATGAAATAACCAAAACAAATGCTCAATGCCATAGCATAGGCCAACAACACTTCTTGTGAATATAACACAGTTCTGTGCATGTTTTTAACGATGGAATTTTCTGCTCCAACAGTTAAGCCATGGCCGACACCCAAGCTGCCAAGTCCGCTGCTGCTGCGCCAAAGGCCGCAAAGGCCCCAAAGGCTCCTAAGGCCGCCAAGGCACCAAAGGCCGAGAAGGCCGCCACCACCGAGGCTAAAGTGTCCGCCAAGAAGTACAAGCGTCACGGACGTCTGTTTGCCAAGGCTGTCTTCACCGGCTACAAGCGCGGTCTGAGGAACCAGCACGAGAACCAGGCTATCCTCAAGGTAGGTCCATCCTATTTTCTTCCATTGAGATTTTGATATAAACCAATTTCTCCATTGCAGATTGAGGGCGCCCGCCGCAAGGAGCATGGCGAATTCTATGTTGGCAAGCGTTGCGTCTATGTCTACAAGGCAGAAACCAAGAAGTGCGTGCCACAGCATCCCGAGCGCAAGACCCGCGTCCGCGCTGTCTGGGGCAAGGTTATCCGCATTCATGGCAACACTGGCGCTGTCCGTGCCCGTTTCAACAGGAATCTGCCCGGTCATGCCATGGGACACCGCATTCGCATCGTAAGTTTACCCCTCAAGTATATCTTGGTTTCCCCATAGTTAATGTTAACTGTTTCTATTGCAGATGCTTTACCCATCAAGGATTTAAGTTAAAATCAACTTAAGTAATTGACCTGCAGAGTAAAAAATCCGTTTTACAATAAATGAAACAATTTAAATTTAATTACAACCCAAACTTAGTGTTGAGCTCTCCATTGTGGGCAGCCACGGTTCCATTATATTTGATATCGTCGGAACTATGAAGCAAGGGGAATATTTCAACTATTGGAATATCTTATATGCGTCAAAAACGTATATAGTAATGAAAGTGCTTTGGTGGTTTCGTGGTTTATGTTTGTTTTCGGTTTTAGCTATTGAATGCTAACAGATATTTCGGAACGAAACAGAGAACCGAACTTGCAGCAGGCAAATGCTTGATTTGGGGCATCTCCCATGCTTTTCCATCTTGATGGCATTCTCAAACTTATTCCCGGAACATATACAAATGAACGAAATTCGAATAAAAAGGACACTTAAATTTCTTGGGCGATTCGAATCCACAGCTGCTCCTGCATCCGTTTCTTTGGAATTCCGTGATTTTTCTTAGTATTTTTCCAGCAATGACGAAACTGCGATTTAATTTGCGTCATAAATTGGTATTTTCAGATAGTCAAAATCGGGTCACACTGCACAGCAGCGTGTTGCGGGTCGAGACGAAAACAAAAATTTGCTTTAAAATTGTTTAATTTAGTTTATAATACAATTAGATATATAAATATAAATTTGCTATTGTTGTGCGCGCCGGGAAGTTATGAGGAAATGTGCGCCGACTTTGATGGGTGCTCCTGCTGCTGTTGCTGTTACACCACCACCGACCAAATTCGCGACAACACGTCACCGTTGCACAAGCCAATTAATACATAGATTGTACATTCCATAAACACCGAAGAACACTAACAAAAATCATCAGAACTTACGTATATGTACGTATAATGGGCATACAGGATGGACTGAATGGCATCTTCACGCAACGTCGACGCAACCTGATCCTCCAGCTGACCATGATCACCTCGATTGTGGCGGCAATGGCACCAGCGGCAGCGGCAGCAGGATCAGGAACAGATTCGGAACTCCAGCAGGCGAGCTCCAATATCCCGCCGGCCATTACACACTGTGTGGAGCGGGACGACCGCCGGATCGGACGTCGGTAAGAAGAAGAAGCTAGGCGGCGAGGGTTGTGTGTGACCTTTTCTTACGCACTGTGATGAAAATGTTCTCGAATGTTCGCTTTACACCACAGTTCCCCCCAAGTGCAGTGCCAGTGTAGAAAGCAAGCAGCTAAGCAAATATTGAAAAAAATGCTGTTTATATTTGATTAAACTATTGGGAAAATTCGTGTTTACTAAGTCAGAATCGAGAACCGATGAGACGCATAGAAAATTGAGTGTTTTGTTCCCATTCCTAACCTTAGAATATCTAATTGATTCAAGAACAGCCACTGATCCCTAAGAAAATATCTATTGACCCTTCAAATACGCTTAAATAGTAGTATAATCAGGGAACGCACCTTATCAAGCATGCGGTGAGTCATGTGGACAAAAGAAAAAGTTAACTGTTTTTAGTCTAGCGTTTTTGTTTGTGCCAGATAAAAAACACGGCATCGATGCGATATGTTTAGTTATGCGCACAGTATAAAACGAGTTTCGTTTCGTTGATTTGCGTTTTTTTGCTTTCTGCGAGTGTATGTTTGTTTAAAACATTTCGAATTTCACCATTTCTTGCGTTTGCCTTGCTCGACATTTGGAGGGCGCCATTTTCGGCTCTTCCGTGTGTGCGAGCGAGATGGCATGCCAAGAAAAGGGGCCAAAACCACTTGTTGGCAGTGCATCAGCTGTGTCGGTCTCCCCCGCCGCACCTACCAAGCAAGCTGTCATGATGGGTGCCAGTGTGACCATTTTGCACAGGGTATCCTTGTATTAAGTGATGCAATATTTTGATGCAACATAGAAATACCGATGCTATGCGGTGTAAATGAATCAATTAGCGATAAAATTAAATTTGTTGTTTAGGTCAGGGACCTGACGTGTTTTTCCTGCATGAACAAAATTCTAATGTCAGTTTTGTTATCTCCACACAGACTCCTCTACATAACAACTCTAGATGGACGACTGAGCGCTTTGGATATAGCCAAGTCTGGTAAGCTGCGCTGGAGTGTGCCCACTGGACCTGGACCACTGATCTCATCGAGCATCCATCGCTTGGAACTGACGAACAATGGGCAGTTCGTCCGCATGATTCCCTCGCTCAGTGGTGGGATATACAAATTCGATGGCGACTCCATAGATCCCATACCCATTACAGCGGAACATTTGCTTAGTTCCAGTGCCAAGTTTAGCGACGATCTGGTCATATCTGGTGGCAAGGAGACCCGCACATATGGCGTCTCTGCCCGTACCGGTCAGCTGCTCTACGAATGCTCTATAAATGGCTGTGTTAATGTCACGGCTGAGGGACGTGCCATTAACGACACTATCGAGGACGTCAAAGAGGAGCCGTTGTCTGATGATGCAGCTGATGATGATGACCACATTATAGATGAGGCTGGCTATATTGTGGCCCATAATCCGCTGCTGGACGATGTTATTGTGGTGCGACGCCAAACGCAGACTGTTCGTGCCGTGGAATCCCGCACGGGCATAGAACGCTGGAATTTTAGCGTCGGTCAGCACGAACTGGATATGGTGCGGGCCTCAGAGTGTCATATGCAGCCCCGTGACGAGCTGGAGCTGGCCGTGCTAGATGTGGATATCAAAGTGGTGGTGCCGGAGGGCATCATCTGCGCTTTCAGCAAAAGCAATCCCCACGACATGCTCTGGAAGTATAAGGTGAGTCGGAACATAGACGGAACAAGCCCAGTGTTAAGTCAATCTTCTCCTGTAGTTCGATCATCCCATTGTGAGTGCTTGGAATACCAATGCCGACGACGAACTGAAGGCCATTGATTTGTTCAGCTCCGCCCAGTGGTTGTGGGACCAGGATGAGGACGAGCTACTCAACAACAGACCAACAAGCGCGCCCTCCATATATCTGGGGATGTATGACAAGCAGCTGTACATACAGGAGTCGATCCGGCTACGCCAGGAGATAATGGACCAGACGCAGGTCTACCAGCAGCTGACAGGAGATACCAGTCTCATGCCCAAGATACCCTGGAAGCCCATAGCAGCCAGTAGCCATTCCCTGGTTATCTTCCAGGCGAACCAGATAGATCCCGAGGTAATTGGCGAAGAGCCGCCGACGCAGGGAAACGAACTAGTGCCATATGATGATCAGAATTTTGCTGTGGCTGCCCAGTCCGTGCTGAATGCATCGGAGTTTGTGAATGGCAACGGATATTACTTCTTCACTGGATCCACTGAACTGGAGGGACCCTCGGAGTGTGGCACGAACGAAACACCCACTGGACTGCCCGCCATTGAGGCGCCACCCTCTTCCGGCAGCAACAAAACTGGGGGAGTCGATGCCACCGGAAATCACAGCATCAATGATGATCTGGGCTTCAGCTTAG